TTTTCCACCATCATCAGTTTTTATGTGTAGCGTTGTTGCTGCTTTAAGCCTTGGCATGCATTTGGAGTATTAATTTTGTCCATTATCGGACACAAAACGAATCCGTTGGTGTCCGATAATGGACAAAATTAATACTCCAAATGCATGCCAAGGCTTAAAGCAGCAACAACGCTACACATAAAAACTGATGATGGTGGAAAAATACACCGAAACGTATTTTGATTGATAAATAGAGACAATAAATGACTGAAACCCAGGAATAGATTTGATTTGTTATTAGTATATAGAATATGAATTGCTATTGGTTGTGCCTGACGATTTGGGCAAACTTGAAAGAAAACGATTGGAAGAACTGATTGGAAGTTTTTGTAGGAGCTGGCCCTGGCAAAGAAAGCTCAGTCACGGCAGCCGGGCACAAGAAGCTGTCGTGAACAAGCTTTATTCTATGCCACAAGCCTACTAGCGGTGCTGGCCATGGCTGCGGGTTCTTCACTACTCTTTCTCGTACCACTCTACGTAGATCCAGCCATCTCTACACTGGCTAGTGATTTCGTAACGGAACCTGTTACATGCGTCACCACTAGGGTTGATCAGCTTGCTGGTAAAGTGGTTGATAACTCAATCTGGTTGCAAGTTTGGTGACGTTTTCCATTAGGTCTTGCTAACTGTTCGTGGAGTTCGTGCAGAGAAGGATGCACGAGTGATGCTTATCACTGTACGCATATTTATGTTGCTTACAATGGAACAGTACCAGGTCTGAACAACACGGAAGATGCAGTATTGCTGGTAAATATAAAAGGCTGTGGATATCCGCCAAAAATTAGATGCGCCAATTTTACTGATACCTTCGGAGAGGAAGGAATTGCGTTCCCTTGTTACCCTTCAAAGGAAAATGGTACCGTGGTTCTGACCCACTACGTCAAAGACGAACAGGTATGAATCTTGGTCTTGGTCTACCATATCGAGCTTTGGTTGATATGCCAGCATTATTTCAGATCGCGATAATTATCCATTATTTTGCTGTTCCGTTTGTGGTCACATTGGCTACATCTGTGGCATTGTGTGTTATGCATTGTGACTGCACTTGTACCCCAGCTCGTCGTCGTACTATCAGATCCCGTAGGCCCGCAAGAATGCAATTAAGGCCTGATTATAGCGACGGGTCCCTAAGCATCGGGCTGCAGCCTGCATTTTCCTAAGTTGAAGATAGCATGTCTACTGGTTGCTGCAGTTTAACTGGACCTTGTAGCATACAAATTCTTGGAATCCTATCACTCCCTATAAACCCCCACCGTTGTTAGGGTAGGTAGCGGTAATATACATATTTGTAACCTGATATTAATTGATAAATTAATATATTTTTCAAAAGTAGTGTAAATAAATTGTTTTGGCATGGCTTGCTATATAGACGCTATGGTCAAGTCTGGCAGCATTTTAAAGAATTTGATTGCAATGCTTAACGGATAATTCATATCAGCTGTAAGTAGCAGTGAAATCCTTACACTGGATAGTGATTCTATATAGTTGGCCACTCTGTACTTTATCAGACTATGAAGGCTTTCACGGCCGGTTAAATCACATTTCGGAATGTTTTCCGGGCTTTGAAGCCGTGGTCTATGGGAATTTCTTCCTGACGTTTCGTCCACAACTGCGGTGGACATTATCAAAGGCGATGAGGCAGTGGGCGAAGTGATCTCCCGTGCTTTCCGACTAAGACTGGTTCAACTACTGGATCCCCTGTGGCCGCATAAATACGACAGGGGATCCAGTAGTTGAACCAG